TGTATATACATATATATATATATAAATATATATATATATATATATATATATATATATATATAGTGTGTGTGTGTGTGTGTGTATGTGTGTGTATGTGTGTGTGTGTGTACATATATATATATATTATTGTAACAGTGAGTCATGTTTACTATGCTGTCGAGTCATGTGAGCCATGATTTATGAAGTTTTAGGCTTGGTATGGAAAACCAGCGATTTTTTTTACACTATTTAGTTTTATGTATACGAATCTTGTGTGAGCATAAACCTTTCATGTCGTAAGTGTTGAAGCAGTTTTAAATAGTATCTGCAACAGTATCTAGAAGGCTCTTATTGCTGATAGCTTGTACAAGTTAGCATCCATCAAAGGACCATATTTTCGGAAGCTCTGTGCCAGAAGGGCGAGACTCGGAGTGATGCGCTGAAAGTGTGAGTCTTAGATTATTTAGGCCCCGAAGATATGAAGTAAACAGTCCTCATAGTTTCGATAAGCCATAATCTACCACTCCAATAGCACATATTACGTGTAAAGTTGTTCCGTGTGGATGCTTGGCTGTGCATATCAAGAACGAGGTTTGGAAATACATTGGCATGTACCTATTGGCACGCATTTACTTGTCTCATGTGTTTATGTGGCTGCATATACACTTTATTGGATGATGCCCCAAGTGCATGCGCCTTTGGCCTTTTTAGATTTATGTATAGACTAACACGTGTGATACGAATCTAAACCCCACTGCCGCGTCATTATCGACATACTGGCAGACTGAAAATTATGCAAATCCATAAAACACAGTTTTGAACGTGTTTTACGATTATGATCATACTCGTTTCAAGCTGCTTTATATCTACTCGATCCTTGTATTTGTATTTCGCGAGGTGAATGAATAGTGTCTATCACTCACAGCTTTTTCCATTCTGCGCAGTCGCACCGAAGGCAGGTGAGAGCACAAATAATGCAAAGAGGGAAACAGCAACCACAGCTTTGAAACGCACTGCTGGCGCTACGAGCGAGAGCGAAGCAAAGTCCGCGAAACGAAGGAAGCTGCAGGTATGGGGCGATTATAAGGTTTCTGTAAGCTACAATCTATGAAAGGGAATTGGTATGTCTGAAATTTCTTATCATCTCTGAAGTATTGGTAGGCTCATACGCAGGTTTTATTGTACTACACAACTCAGAGTATGCTACAGGGCGCAACGGCGGCCTCTCATATGACCGCTAGTTCAGAAACCGACGCCATCGGGCCCAAAAAGAAAATGTCAAAACTCGATAAGGCTAGGGCGAAATTAGACGGTGCCAAGTAAGTCGTTCTGAACTTCATGATTATTGCGTATGCACTGTTCGAAATCTGTCTTAGAAGTCTTCATTTTTGAGACACGACAATTTTAGTCGTTCGTGAATAGTTTAGCATACACAGATAAAAACAATTATGTACACTTTCAGAGCACTTAGACGAAATGATTTAGTCGTGAAACATCTTGTAGGTTATAGGCAGATACCACAGGTGCACACGCTGATTGCTGAGATGCGTAGTCGTGCTGTTTTTAACATTCAATGTGTATAACGAATATCGGACTTTATTAGATTCCGATGGCTCAACGAGCAACTATACACTATGCATAGTGATAAAGCCGTCGAGATGATGAAGGACAGTCCCGACTTGTACGAACTGGTAAGTTAATGCGGTAGTTTACTTCGTGATCAAACGATGAGGTTCCGGTGTAAAACTACGATGACATATTGACCATCGTATAACATTGTCGCTGCTGCTTGTGTGCAGAGAGCCTGGACCACTATTGCTGATGTTTTTGAATTGCTAATCGTTCATTGGGATTATATTTCGGCAGTATCACAAAGGATTCCGTAATCAAGTGAAGACGTGGCCGTCGAATCCTGTTAATGTACTGATAAAGTACATACGAACATTGCCTACGAATAGCGTTATTGGGGATTTTGGCTGTGGTGATGCTGCTCTAGCTGCCGCTGTTTCAAGGAAATACAAAGTCCACTCCTTCGATTTAGTCGCAGCGAACGACTCCGTCACGGCATGCGATATCGCACATGTATGTAGTTCGTATTGCTCTACTGCGCAGTTCTGTACGATTTTAAATCAAGGGCGATTTTATCGATCATGCATTTGAATAGCATGATGCGTCGCATACTGCAGGTGTCGCCATGTGCAATTACAGCTGAGTAGTCTTGGCTGACATTATTTTATTTTTGCAGGTGCCATTGAAGGCTAAGACACTGGATGTAGCCGTGTACTCGCTGGCACTGATGGGCACGAATTATCGAGATTTCTTACGGGAGGCACATCGTTGTCTGAAAGTCGAGTATGTGCTTTTTCCTATTCCGACGTTGAGAACCCCAACAATGAGATATCCTTAAAATGGTTCATACGTTAGTCTCCGCTTCTCATACTTGCATGGTATATGTATATTTCACAACTGGCCAACCACCTGCAGAGAATTATGTACAATTAACATGACTCTGTTGATATTGATTCACTGCTCACGCCTCAACGCACACTCACTTCTCTACTAGTGTTAAGCACTCTTGTCTCATGCCTACTTCAAATAGGGGTATTCTAAAAATTGCTGAGGTTACGAGTCGAATAGAGGATATTGACGAGTTCATCCATGTTCTGGAAGAAGAATTTGGGTTCGACTTGGTGAATAAGGTACGCCATCGATAGCTTAAATGTATCAATGCTTGTGTTTGTGTGGGGCTAGAACTGCTGACTGCAATTGAACACATTCGTTTGATGCCAGAGCATACGCTCACCACGCAATAGTCATATACGACAAATTCTCATTGCTTAGTGGCACGACCCACCGATGAAGCTATTGTGCATTCTGTTTGTGATGTGGCTCCTGGAGATTAGATAGTCACAGTGTATGAATTAGGTTTCACCTGTACTAGATCTTGTCGCTTGCAGTATAAACCTTCATACTTGTATGTAGCCATATTTTGTTGGTGTACCGTTCGTTAGCATATTTAGCGTGTACTCATGGCAGGTGTGTTTCAAATGGATATTTTTTTCTTGTTCTAGCCAAATGATCATTCCTTTTCATGCACTATTACAATGCTGCAAACGGCTTTATGATCTGATTGAAACATCTAGCGTACGTTCACCCGGTACTCGGTAAAGATCGTTTACCAATCGATACTTTATGTGCTAATTTGGTGCAGGATGTCCGGAATACGCATTTTCTGCTCTTTACGTTCAAAAAGAAACGCAATATGTCCAAAAGCTATCAAGAGGATGATCATGTCGAGGTTCTCAGACCGTGTATCTACAAGCGGCGATGATTGACGCCGCCACTCTCGAGCTATGGTCGCACAAATTGAAATCCGGGGACCTTTAAAATAGACGAATACCTGTAAAATAAAGATGGTATCTCCATGGCGTTGGAGATGTTGCCTTGCAATTTCTCTCTCGGCAATATGTAATAGTTTTTTGTGCGCGTCATCCATAAAAACGTTTCCACTGGAGGGGTTTGTTTTTGAATTCACGCGACTATTTAACGTTGGGTATCGTCTACATAAGTGACATTTTGCTGACCCTCAAATTTAAGAAGTGATTTAGGGAGTCATGTTGCACTAGCCTCGTAACCAAACACTGCTCTAGCAAATGCGGTAGAGTAGGTCAATTTCACGAATATATTCACGTAATACTGTTTTATTCTTATTCATGATAAAAAGGCCCAACGAAATTATGGTCTAAATTATTCTCCCATTCCCAATAACACTATATTTCCTACTGCTTTCGAACATACCAAATATACTGAACACCTACTACACTATTCAAGTACAAGACCACTATTCAAGTACAAGACAGCTAACGTTAAACAAGAAAATTATCATGAAATGTAAATTGTCTACTACGCCGCAAAAAAAATGGCGAATTCCCCCTCCGATATCGCTGATTTTATAACTTGTTTGAGTGTCTGTGAGTATACGCCCTAAATGTACACATTCATGCAATTTTTTTCAGCATGAAAAACCTTTATCTGTGATAATGTTTGCTTTTCTGCTATTTCCAGACCAATTGTAAGATTATGAACCTCGTAGAAACTATTGTTCATCGTATTCTCGACTGCCAACAACACACCAAACGTATAATTTCACGCGAGAGGAAAATCGCGGTTCTTTATTCCATATAAATGGAGGCTATATTTATTTACACCATGACTAAATTTTGCAAATGATCGCCATTCTTGAAGTATATTTTCGCTGCCACTTCATATCATGAAATCGTATGTATCTTGGTTGCAAAAAGATTCGAAATACTCTGAAGTGGCCTTTCTCACTCTTGGATTAAGGTGAGGTATGCTTATAGAAACTCATTCAATATTGGCAGCACTCACGTCTAATCAGCCTTGAATGAGCCAATTACATATTGCAGGAACTTTTAACTCACGTATATTAGTCATATATAAAGATGATTCGGGAACTCAACTATTTTTACCAGGCACGAACGTGGGTTTGGGAAGACCTGTAGCAAATGAACATAATTTTTATTATGAATGCCTAAAAGTATATCCCCCATCGTAAAAGTGCCAAGAATATTACCAAAAGCCAGAGCAAGCAAACCGAAATTAGATGTTGATGAATATGAATTGACTCTATTGCACCTGCTGTGACACCTACCATTGTATCTTCGTCCCTTTATTCACAACAACTTCAGAGTTGTGTATATAAAAGGACTGGAGTAGGATAGTGCTATTGGGATAATAATATTTATTCCAATTTGGGTAAATTTTTATGTCTACATACACGGCAGACTTCATATTCGTTGGAGTGGTTCTAGAGAAATTGTAGGGAAGTTAAGATTGTCGAACTGCCGCGAGAAGCTCAGGGCGAGGGATGCGCCGATGGACGACATACGGTACGTTAATCCACGACGATAGATACAGAATAACTCTACCATTGGGTGGGAGCTAAAACTTGTGTGCCACACTGCGTTGAAAAAATCTGGCCCACATTTGTAGTGGTAATATGGACTGAGTCAGTATGAGATATTTTGAATGTGATACCAAGGTGAGGTTGTCAACCGCAGTTATGCTTCAAGTTGGAGGCTGACCGATATCACACCACACAACTGATGTTTTTGGAATATCCTGGCTAGCCATAGCGGGAAGTATCATAAGCCGTACCCGAAGTCTCGAAGATTTGGTCTGCACCGAAATCTGGAAATAGTACTTCAGCAGAGTGATGAGACGGGGAATAACGAACGTTAATCTATCGACCAGTATTGGATGGGGGTAAATTGGTGCCCGCTGTTCATGGAAAAGAAAGCTCCCGATATGTTCGTGGAAGAGTCCTTAAGCCGTGGTAGCCATGCCGATTCTGTAGTTGTTGTAGTAAGTCCGGTCCAATTGGCGGTAGATTAGGGCCCACCAGAATACGCCTTACTAACGTACTGATACAAGCATAGTGGCTGGAGATAAAAGTCTTGTCTCCGGGGCACGCGGGACAGAGGCATCCACCAGTACGATAGTCAAGCAAGTTGAACACGAACGTGTTGGTTGCTATCATGGCACATAGGCGGATTGGGGTGTGTTCACGGCAATGGGTAAAGCTACCATGGGAGGGCTAGTCCCGGTCTGTGATGGGATGTTCTTCCCTTATAAGTCGATAGTAGTATTGGCGGCGAGTATTGCCTGCTATCCCCTTAGTTGTGAGACGTCGTGTGGTGTTATGTCGGATCTGCTCTCGAAGCTTACGGCATTCTTTGTGTTTAGGTGTGTGCCCGCCCCTTGATTCTAGATAAGCGTAGATTTTGAATGGGAATTTGTCCGGAGGTCTGTTACGTGTTCAAGTGGGTCTCGTAAGTAGGGCGAGTGGGTTTGTACTGTTAATCGAGTCAAGATGTAGTCTCAGGCAGCCACCAAGGTACTCCGCAAATTGTCGTTCTGGCAGTAAACAGCAGAAGCGAAAGAAACCGTGTGCGCTGGTATGGGAGTTTTGGAAGCATACTGCCTGTTATAATGGCTGCTACTTGGAATAGTACTGAGTTGTACCGCTCGCACAGCGGCTTCAACGCGGCATGCCAAATAGGTGGAGCATATGCAATGATGTCCAGACCATAGAATGACCAATGAATGTCTTGAATATTTTTAACTGAATTCTCGGGAGTAATTTAAGCAACTTGACTAGCTCTCGGGAGTGAGCTATCTCTGATGCCTTTTAAAAATCAAAGAGGGTTTTTCGGTAAACTTTAATTAATGTATTATTTCTGACCTCGCCTTTGGTTTTAATGTATTATTTCTGACTTCGCCTTTGGTTTTATACCTAAGGTGTTTAATCATAAATCAAAGAGGGTTTCTCGGTAAACTTTAAATAAAGTGCAAATTAATGTATTATTTCTAACCTCGCCTTTGGTTTTATACCTAAGGTGTTTAAGGTGTTTGTGCTAGTGTCCAGGCCCTTGGGCTACCTCATATGGTCAGTATATAAAACCTTCTACATATCACTTTAGCACTTCGATGCTATTTTATTTCGACTTCTTTGCAACTAAAAAACACGCTGATCACATGATGCATTTCCAACCGATTTCGCGGATGACGCCAGCTGAATTTAAGAAATTCATACCCCCGGAAGGACACTATAGCCTGGAGTTAAATGCTGCCACGAGGTGGTCCATGTGTTTTACAAAGCTGATACCCAGTATGCCCTGGGACAGTTAAAATCTTAAGTATTTAGAAGGCTGTGGATAGATGTCAGAGAGTTCCACCGCCATGGGTATGGGAGGGATAAGTAGTCGTCTATTGAGTGTTCGCATTTGGGGAGCCTACTAGCGTTGGCGTGATGAGATGCTCTTTGATAGGGAGAGGCGGTACCCGCATGTGCTCTAGACCGGATTGGCGACCCCAGTCACTGATCGCGTTCAGGAAGGGTTGGAACCTAACAGACTGCGGAGCCTGTATGCACGTGTCATCTACAAAGAGGTAGAAGCGGAGGAGTTTCGGTCGAAATTACGCAAGCGTAATAGCCAAGGAGTCCATATGGATGATAAAAAACTGTGGACCGACAATCGAACCTTAAAGTATTGTATGCCATTCGTTCTATAAAATAGACATGAAAGCTTCCCATGATACGTCACCCGCGTGGATACATTCTCGTTCTCTGACATTCCAGTGTGGTGCAACAGCATCCACATGCGCGGAAGGACCACTTTATCGCATGCTTTGGGGATGTCAATCCAGGTACCCCCGGATTGAGTCTCAGAAACCATCGCGGCAATGGCATAAGTATGACAGGAGTAGTGTGATTTAAACTCATATTGAGATGTATGGGTGGTTGGTCCGGGGTAATTTGTTGTCAGGTGTAGGAAGTACTTCTCAAAAATGCGACGAACAATCTACGTTAGGGGTATCGGTCGGAAAACGGCAGGGGGTGCAGTTTTTGTGTAAGCTTTCTTCGAATGGACTGTCAAGAGAGTACAGTTAAGAGCTTTAGAGAATGTACCAGGCATTAAGAGGGCGGAATATCTCAGCCAAGATGCTAATAAGTCAGCTGTCAGGTACAGTCAGGGTGTCACAAATCTGGGGGTCAGTGAAACGCTCTACTACGGCCTTAAGGAGAAAGACAATGATACCATCCAAACCAGGGTCCTTGTTTGGATCGCGCAGTACTGCCTCCAACACTATTTCGAGTGAATAACTGCATTCAATGGAGGGGTTGGTGCTGTTGGTGCTGTATCCGCGGTGGGGTTGTACGTGTGGGTTATTTGAGTTGAAGAGATCTTTGTAGTAATCCGTCAGTGCAGCGCCCGAATTATGGACACCCAGTATAAAAGGTTGACGCGGTGATCAACGTCGGTGTCCGGTATTCCTACAAATCTGAATATTGTGCTGGGCAACAGATCACGAGCAGAACATGTGATTCGGCAGAAGGCTTTGCCCACGGTTTGTCAGTGTCATAGCAGGAATCTCCAAAAAAAAAAAATTGCCAGAGTTCGCTGCGTAGCGCCAGATTCAATTTAGTATATGCTCTAATCCGTAACAGATGTTGATGCTCACGAATCTCAGCTTGAAACAACAGGGTGCGTGGCTTGTCGTATAAATGTTGCAGTCTGTGGCAATACCAGTTGTAGCCATGGGATAGAAGACTTTGGTGATGGGGCGGTGATTGAGACGGAGACATTCGCCGAAGACGGATTACTAGTTTATTTGTGACCACCTAAAAATCGAGTCCAAATTTGTGGTCCTTGTAGATACCGTGATGCTGGGGTTGTTGGCCTGTAGTACTCGTGCTCTGTACGCCAGGCACCGGGAATAGTGGCATCTACCGTCTTTCTGCGGAGTCCATGGATCGTGGATGTGTGACCATACTGTCTAACTTTAGAAATAAAATCACCCTAAATGACATCTGGTTGGGAGTTGCCGATCTCAGGAAGAATCATGTAGTGTTCAACTTCTGCCTCTGTTAAGGAGTTGAGTAAGATGTAGAATATAGCAGGAGGCAGTAGAAGAAAACCGCATATGGTGATAATTAGCTGAGGTGGAATTTCGATGGGTGATGTTTTGGAAAATATTCCCAATATAACAGAGTGAAGGATGTGCGGGGTTGTATCGTACATGATTAAAAAAGTCACATTATGCCAGGTTTCAACCACACATACAATCAATTTGATCCAAAAATCGATATAACATTTAGGCAGATCTGATTTCGTCGGAGTATCCATGCTGAGACCTCGTGGGTTAAGAAACGTCATTCACATAGGTTTAACATTATTCGTCCTCTGACATGTTGATAACGGGTTCTGTGTTGTTGATTTCCATTTCGTCATCTGCATCACGCGCTCCCAGTTTATCTGCTTTCTCTAAGAGTCGGGAAAATTGCTGATGGGGCAGTTGGGTTGCGTGCGCAGTCCTGGGTTTTGTGGTTGCCAAGCTTTGATCTAAAATGTCTTCTCAATGCGCTCGGTTGTAGATTTGAGGATCTCGATATCTACTAAAATATTTAGTGCTGTTACGTCATAACTCCAATCGTTATGACCTACTAGCACAAGTATTTTAAAAAGCAGAACTAACTACTCCCAGTTCTTGGAAGGAAAATCCTTTCAGAATAGTATTTGATTCCATAACTGCTGTAAGTCCATACTGTCTACGCGGAGGGCTCTCCTGGAAAAAACAGTTGTTTAGATGATAGTTGTTTGAGTGAAATGTAGTAGACTTTAAATAAAGTGCAAATGTATGTATTTATTTTTGACCTCACCTTTGGTTTCATACCTAAGATGTTTGTGCTAGTGTTCAGCCACTTGGGCTGGCCAGGGTAAAATCTCATATGGTCAGTAGGAAACCCCTTCTGCAGAACATTTTTTAACACTTGGATGCTATTCTATTTCAACTTTTCTGCAACTAAATCTCATGCTGATCACATGATGCCTTTCCGCATATGTTGCATAGTTGTGACTCACATAGAACTGCAGCTATTTTTAGAATGTTGTGGTTGGCAGACTTAATCCACTCTCGGGAACCGGTTTAGAAACTTAATCTGCTTTCAGGAGTCGGTTAAGTATAATCTCAACTCTCGGGAGTAATTTGAGCAACTTGATTTGCTTTCAAGAGTGAGCAAACTCTGATGACTTCTATACAATATACATCTGTAAAAGCCGGGCCTCCACATTAGAATCTTGTAATATAAACGTACTCTTAATAGTGCGTAAAACGTACTCTTAAAAGTACGTGAACTCAGTTTTCCTTAAATGGTTTTTAACGGCTTTATTAATTAATACCTTTTCCATTTTACATATCAGATATTCGGACAAGGCCATTAAAAGGCCCCAGTAAAATACCAAATATAAGATTTGGTCTAGTCCTATTAATAGAACTTTATTTACTTTCCAAATCTATTTATATCTGAATACTTCGGTAGCGAGATGGCTCAACCGAATATAGGTTTCTAGGGACTATTAACGTTACCTAGTTGATCCTCCGATCAGCCAACTAGATGTGCCAGTCTGATGAAGGCTAAGTCGGTAATTCCTGATAAGTGGCAAGTTATTGGTTAAGACAATAACTAGGGACATCAAGAGTATTTTTCTTTTTTCTTTTTTAAAGATAGGATTTAGGAGTCTTTCAGATTCGCCCCAATGAAACATACCATAGTTTCTAATAGAGCGACATCGAAACACTAAATAAAATCCCTTCGGCGGAAACACTACTGAGAGGATTATATATAGGCAATTTCTCAGCCTCACAATCCCTCAGAGTATTGCTGTTTTCACGAGGCATACCTAACTTTACTAAAAGTCTCATTTCGTTTATTTACTTTGATATTTTCACGATACTTAGAATTTACCTACGCGTTTATTTACTCTAAGGCGTTGATATCGCCTTAATAGACCGAATCTTACAGAAGTGGAACATTATAAGCGAAGTGTGTTGCGCCTGCTGAGTTTTCTACACGTCTGTCAAGTACTGCCAGGACCTCAACTTCATCCGCGTCAGCAGTATCGTAGCCATGGGTACAATGGGTTTATTCGGCGAGTTTTGGTATGTCATTGAATGCAATTGACTTGTAGTTCACAATCGGTGGGTAGCCCAATTTCAGTACGTCTCTGGTGAATATGCATATATTGTTTGTGATAGGATCAGCGAGCTCGTAGGTTGTAAAGACAATCACTTTGGATACGATGTACGGACCTTTATATCGAAACATTCACTTCTTCATCAGCCCCGTGCCTGTTGGTCTCTTGAATACCCGGATCAACACTATACTGCCCACTTTGAATGAACGCATGGGAAGCACTCTTTTCCGATTGTCGTGTAGTCATTTTTCAAGGACATCCGCCGTCGCTGTCGCCCGAAGTTAAGAGTGTCTTTGATATAGGCGTGCTTAGTGTTCTTGTTACATTTGGGATTCGCAGTGAACGTTTCTTTGGCAAATTCAGTGGCTTCATGCACGTATACAAGCAGGTACGGGCATCGACCAGTGTCCTCGTGCTTCTGAGACTGGTAAGCATATTGTATGTAACTGAATACTAGATCCTAGTCAGAGTGCCTGGAATTCACGTAATTAGGAAACATCGCTTTAGAATTGCGATAGACACTCTCAATCACACTCTTGCTGTCGGGATGATACGCAAGATATACCTTGTCCGTGTGTAAGTATTTTTCTGTTGCCCTTGCGATCTCGCATAGAAAAATAGAATATCTGTCGTTAGCGTGTGTACGGATCACACCGTAGCGGAGAAGTATGCGTTGAATAAATAGATTTGCAACAGTTGCCCCTGTTCTAGCGTTGACGCAGAAACCCTCGCTCCATCGCGAATAGTGACAGATAAATGCCACAATATATTCATTGCCACACTCTGTTTTTGGGAACGGCCTTTGCACATCAACACTGGTATTTTTAAAGAGTCCGGGTAGTTCCATGTCGTACATCGGCACTCTTCGACGTTCATTGGGAGTTGTTTTCACACGCTGACATTTCAGACATGAATTCACATGTTATTTCACGTCACCATATACCCCAGGCCAGTATACATGCCTGGGAAACCGATAACACGTACCTTCCACGCCATGGTGTCCAGCGCTAGGGATGTCATGGGCGGTAGTCAATAGCTCATTTCTGAGAACCTTCGGTATAGCTATCGACCGAATCTGCCATTGTAACGCAATGATTCATCATCGTCGAGGTATGTACGCTTAGATGATTTGCGGTACTGCTTGATTTTTTTCGCAGTAGTATTGAGTCGTGCGGCTCGTTCTTTAGTCGATGAGGTCGCGTGTGACTTGGTATCTTTCAAATACGCGATGGTTGGTGAGAGGTCCGGATCCTGTCGTTGTAATTCTCTTGCGTGAGAGGCAATTGATACGAGGTACATTCGTGCTGATATGTGTAATAGTTGCTTCTACTCACTCCTTGGGCGTGCAAATGCCTGAAGGTATTGTAACCTGGAGAGCGCGTCTGCCTGTACATTGGACTGACCCGATTTGTGCTTGAATATCATCCGATAATGCTGTAGTTTGAGTTCGCACCTCAATATAAGGCGTTCATTGTGCATTGATATGTATGGTTGTGGTCTGTCCAGCATTCTGTCTTCCTTTCGTGAACAAAGTGGTGCGCTGCTTGGGTATAAGCCCAAACCATACTATGGGTCTTTTTTTTCTGATATGTGCCAAGGAAGTTCATGTTTCTTGAAAGCTCTAGAAAAGTAGCCTAGTGTGATCTCCTTCAGCTTTCCCTCTTTCAACTGCATTTACGCCGGGCAACAGCCCTCCGCTTCACGGCTCGCATCCACCTTCACTCTGAAAGGATGTGTGTTTTCTGAATAATCTGGGTATCCTAAAGTATCATACCCAGATACTTTACCTCTTTGACCTTGTGATTTGAAATTTATGTGCAGAACCAGCACGGTTTTGATGGTAGGGCGGGCCGTAGAAACATATAGAATATTTCATGCACAATTTTTCACACACATTAGTTTAAGGTTTTTCAAATTTCGATATATGCATGTGGCAGATTTATGTGACACAGCGTAAGCTGAATTACGCTATTAAAAATATTAAGAAGCGGACAACAAATAATAAGTAGGAAATTACGAAAGTGAAGGTTGCCAAGAAAAAAAAGTCCTGGCGTATGAATTTATAAACTACAACAATGAAGACTAGAATTTGTAGCGAATAAAGCCACTGTGTATTGCTAGATGAACGACTAATTTTTAAAATGACTTTTATTATTTTCCGCATGCGGCACTGAAATCAGAGGCTTTAACTACTAAGTTATGATGGAGGATTTGGTCCCAAGGCTAACCGGGATCTTAGAGCTGAGAGTTTTTGGAGCGTTTCCGGATGGCCCGGGAAGTGTGCGAGATATCTGGATAGCCCCAATACCTAAATTTTGATGTCGATGCAAAGTTAGTCAGTTAACTATACATATAGCGGATCAATGCCTTTAAGTAGGAACACCGCAGCCGCGTAGGATAAAGATTCAATTCGAATGAGGTAGAATACGCATGCGCAAAGTCACGAAAGTGCCCAAGGACACCAAATGACCTATGAGGACTAGAACAGGGGCTTTCACTCTAATTAAATATGAAAATCAATATATAGAAGCATAACACCGCTGCTATGGATATGCTCAAACTCACATCGCGGTAGTAATGCTGAATACACCAACACGCTGGAAACTAAAGCATACCCAAGACTGGAGATATGGAGGCCAGCTCTCGACTCCTGAAGCTGGCCCAATACTACCGCTGAAAGAGCCGTCTGAAGTACCAGATACGCCAGGCAGACTTCCAATCACACTTTCATCGCCCCGAGGTGTCATTTGTAAGCTGAAACAGCAACCGCCACAGGAGATATCGCAATAAGGATATAGTTCGCATATGAGATCGAGTTGTGACATATACTCTACTTTATTTGACATACAAGTTAGGAAGAATGTTGCAGTTTACTACAGATTAAAAACCTAGGGTATGCCTGTTTCGCAAATGTCTTGTTATTGGCCTTTCAAACACTGAGAACATAGAAATATAGATAGTCTATCATGGTATGTGAAGAGGCTGAGATGCTCATTTAAGAGATAGCTGTAAATTGGTCTGCAAGAACTTGGACACAAGTGGATATAGTCGCACATGCGCACAAGAACAATACTGCACTCACGTATAAATGTACTGTAACCATACCTTGCGTGGTGCTTGTGTTGCTGGAGAAGGTGCCTGGGCGACCCTTTAAAAGGCGGTGCGTCCAGGAGCATCACGAAGAATAAAGTAGCTAGAAGGTGTGCCATTGGCATAGGACGTTTTTCGAGCCCGAAGAGGGTCAGCTCACGGATTATGTACATGTAGTCGGCCAGCAATTCCATCTCCAGCGTGCGACTATCTTTATCTTCCTCCTGAGAGTACAAGTTCGTAGCTGAGTGCGAGTGTGACTGTGCTTGGATGCGAGATTGTGTACGGACGACTTTGTTGTCACTTTGAGCAAATACGACGGCCGTGACAGTCTGTGACGCGCAGAATAGGCAGGACAGCGCAGCATCAATACATGAGATGGAAACATAACGCAGGGCACGGGAGTAAAGGCGAGAGGACGCGAGTAATCGCTCAGTATGGGATGATTGTGATTACTCTTAAACAATCGATTTAGCTTGAGATAATTTGCGGACAGCACCATTGGAACTCGCGTTTTCAAGCTGAGCTGTAGCATACCAACTATGAGAAACAGAGAACCACAATACAAAACCACGTATATAATCGAAAGTCACCCTCAGACGACTTACCGACGGATTTGCTAACTTCAGAGCATGCTTACGTGCTAACAAAAGTCGGTATCTTCGCACTAGATCGGTAGACATCAGGAACAGGTCGCGATGTGCCCGGCGTCCATTAGTCAACACACTATACGGACTGCTAGCCAATGCCGAGAGCCCTAATTGAACTCGCACAAAGTGCATCTCGTCCAAGTTATTGCGCATGCACACCACAAAATGGAAGGACATGTAGCGTTCCTTCCACATCATTGTACTCGCCTCCGCGATGGTATCGAGCCTTGGTTTGATAACCACAGTCAGCTGCGAATGCGATGCTGGTAGTTGTCCACTATCTGCCCCCCCATATATTTCTTTGTAAGGCGAGATAATTAAAAGCATGAGGAGAAATATCCCGTACGCATAAGCCCACTGAGATCATACAAGATTGTCACAAAATGTACTTGGCAAACTTTCACGAGCATACTACAAAGTAAACTTGAATTTGACGTCTATTTTAACCCAATACCCCATTACTCGTACACTCGACCCGAGGTTTATCCCCTCACCTGTCTGTGGGTTTCCTGCGCACAGCACAGCAATCGAGCTGCTGGTTTCCTTGAATTCCACATCGAAGTAGGGTTCGGAACACCGAATGTAGAGCTCCATGGGTCGCTGCTGTGCGAAGAGTGCGGGCGGTAGCGTTGACGATATATAAACAGATTGTGACTGTGGATAGATGGCAATCGGTTTGGTGCTCTCCACGCTTGTCGAGCGGCTGGCCTTGCCGCGGAAAAGCACTATGGAATCACTCACATTTAGACTCGGCATTCTGTATAGGTGAACGGAAGTAACGTCGCTCATTATTTTGCTCTCAATGAAAGTATGCATAATTGTAATGATGGGATAATGCTCCTTAAGGCGTCAATTCCAGGTCAGGCTGCCTAGGTAGAGCGCTTGAGATTTGGTGTTGCCGTGTATTGAATAATTTCAAAAAGGGCATATAGTAACAGCGACTGCTATCACCTCTAAATATAGAAGTAAGCGCAACACACATTAAACAGGCTAGCTGTACGTGCTTGTATAAAAGTTTCGAGCGTAGCACTACCTGATATCGGCCGACACGTGGATACTTCGCTGAAAGTGTTTGATGAGACGGCAACTGATGTTAATGGTACACGACATGCGGACACTTGGTCTAGCTTCACCAGGCTCCCCAGCGTGGCTAGCTGATGCTGCACATAGGCGCCACGTGTCTGCAGCTGATAGGGTAGGTGTAAAATACACATACACGCGGAGATCTTCTTTGCTGGGAATATACTGGAGGATATGAGGAGTTGTAATGGGAACATGTACGTGAGTCTGGGTTTAATATTATGACGCTGGAGTGAAAGGGTCATATAGACTATACTAGCAACATTCAAAAGCTAAAGTTGAGGCAATAAACGAAATCAGGTTCGAGTAGTGTCTCGCAAAGCTGTTGTACTCATTGACTACTAAGCTCAGCACACATCCTTGGCAATGACTATTTACATTCGTAATAAATCGTGCAGTGGACTTTCCGACACAAGTAAGACAAGGGGGAATGCCGGGGGATGGGCCAAATTGGAACACGATTACGCTAGAAATGTACAATATGTTGGAAAAAAAACTGCCTACAAAACCATAGCGAATGAAAAAACCTTTGTCAAAGTGACATTACAATCGAACGCGCTTCCCAGAATAAAGCGACATCTAGGTTACATACCAGTGTATTGCACAACACAGGCGACTCCCGGGACAGACTGAATACCACATCGCAGTCGCTATAGTGGTCAGTATCGATCGCGAGATCGCCGGAGCACTTCGAACCAGGGTCTAAGTATCATAACGGCAAAGGTAAAGGGCGTGAGAGTCTACAAGCGACGTTTAGCATCTAACAGTGTTGATTTCAATGTACTGTTTACTAGTCATTCAATTATGCGTCATCAATGGGGTTCAAATGCATCTCTAGCAAGACGTAGATGAGCAAGTATTCTCACCTGAAGTGTCAGTAGGTTTGGCCGTGCTACTGTCCACTCCACCGCCCATGTCAACGGCACTTTGAGTCAAAACAAATTTCGCGCCCACCGCTGAGTTATTGCTGATCACAAACGACCACTCAGTATGAGTGTGGCCAGCGTACACAGGGCCGATATCCAGCATCTGTCCAATAGAAAATTGAAACATTATTTTTTAAGCTTTTCTGTGTTCAAAACATATGTAATTTGTGAGACTTCCGCGCCCGCCTATCTGGATGCGGCTTTTAATATATGATTTCATGCGCGCACGTTCACAGCCACAACTAGCTGTACCGGCACGAATACGCAGCAAATTTACATATATGTGTAGTGAGAGACCTAATCATCACCACAAACACGCATTGTCAAACATATAATCGAAACCACGGTTCAATAATCGAAATACAACCGCAAACACTTGATAAAAAAACAAAAAAAACAGAATCTATAAAGTAAGGCTAACTACACGCTGAATTTACGAAATTTATACACCAAACACACCTCCAAACGCAACAAAAACAATTATCACGTCTAGTAAAAATAAAATATTATAGCACAATATAAATGCAACCACACCTGTCGAGTGTTGTTCGTGCCGCTTAAAGCGGCAGTCTCGCCGGGCAAGACCGGCGTAGCTGTGCTGGTGCCTGTGCCCGTGGGTGTAGTGATGACAGAGAAGAAATCCTCCGCGTCTAGGTAATCGTTCTTAGCGCTCAGGGTCTGTGACTCTATCGTATGATCCATGCCGCTCATGCGGCTTGTAGACAACGCACTTTCGCCGGAGTGTGCATCCACCACAGCTGTCAATAGTGTGGTACTCTCATCTCCGGTATTCCCTTCAGACCCCACCCCTTCACCCTGTCCGTTCATAGACACCGCCGTTTTACCAGCCTCGTGTAAATGGATCTGTGAATGTGACTGGGCCTGGCTGCTGGGCTGCAACTGCCTCGACAGTCTATCGATTGGTCCGTTCCGCCCGAAGCGGTCGGGTGACACCACCACATCCATGCGCAGACGGACGATGAAGAACTCGTCCGGATGATGAACATTCTCTACCACTACGTATGCACTGCACCACCCGAGAGTGCCTGTGGACAGCGACAAAGTCACCACACGCGTTTCGAGTGGCGCTACCTGAGAAATGCGTGATGGAGTATAGGTATGGGTGAGAATGTAAGTAATAGCTGGTGCCGGAGACGTGCAAAGGCTGGCAGCCATAATTTGCTGGAGGGGAATTAACAAGTGAATATCGCAGATACATATATATTTCTAGACCGATGGCAACAAGCTATTAAAGCGCACAGTGTACAGCATTGATGCATACCTGGCCATCCGACGCTCCCAGCGACAACCAGTTGCGGTCCGAATCCACCAAAGCATGAAGCCGAAAGGACTGGCTCCGGGTCTGAGTATTCTCCAACGAGAACTGCCACGTGATCACACCTGGTATATAAAACCGAACAAAAATACAAAATGTGAATGCTAAAATCCAAGCGAAGGGATATTTTTCGCACCAATTTTAAGAAGAAATGCACGCACAGCTGCGGCTTGTACATTGATGCACATATATCACACGCTCTAACTCGACCAAATAAAGCCAAATTTGCAACAGTGCGGATCTGAAAGCAACAGCACACGTCAACCAATAGTTCACCTGAGCCGAGCGCCCGAGTGCCAAGCGCCGCGTCGTATCGATAGCAATCGGTCCCTTTGGAGTCCACTACGGACCCACGGCAATGCAGCAGAAGCCGTCGCTTCTTCAAACGAACGCCAGTTGTAGAGCCAGACGACGTAATACCTGTATGAAAATACAAATGTGTACAGAAAGCGAACCTGTGGTGTTAATTGCGACCGATATTGCCGAATGATACCCAGCGTATACAAGGAAAAACACGGAGGAGAAGGAGGCGGGTGTATACAAACTGGGAATTGACAACATCTTTTTATCCTCGACTGTATACTATAAGATGTTGATAGACCAGGCCGATCCTCAAGCGCAAACAAATGCAGACATACCATCGCGCAGGGCCCTGTCCGTCGTGGACACAACAGACATTTGATTCTTTATGTTCATGACTTCTGACTCACTCTTGGACACGATGGGCTGAGCGATGTGCGTAGGCCGGGATGCACCGCTAACCGTCACAAGCTTGATGGGAACCTGTTGTACAGCAGCATTTGAATGCAATGTGAATATGCGACTAATCATGGGAGTACAACGCTTAATAAATCTCGTTGCCGACAGACTCGCAATTCGCGCAACTGTCAAAACGCGTAGATGAGAGCGTAGATGAGAATACGCCTGAATTCAATGCTCAGAAATGTGACACTCACCTCCTGTACTTCACTGCCCTCGCCATCACCGTCATGGTCTCGTATGCACAGTTTGATTGAGCTGACATTGGCTATATGCGCCGCATGATCACATGCGAGTGTCACACGTATGGTCACGGACTCGTTCGGAGGCACTTCCCCGAGAGCAGGCTCTATCTCAAGCATGCGCACACAACCTTCGTCAGTAAAGTCTATCCAACCATCGCATATGGGGGTGATGTTGTATCTCAACATGCGTTCCACGCATCGGTTGGTCAGCACAAAGGTTGCCATGGCTCGGGGAGGTGCTTCGAACGCTGCTTGTGCTGCCAGGACAAGTGTGAAGAGTGTTTCTGTCAGTTCTTTTAAAGGCATGGCCAGACGTTACTTTTTACATCAATCAGTATGTGTGAATTTATATTGATCATTGATCGGCAACCAATACGTGTCTGTGAAAACAGGTTTGACCTTGTTTATCTTCAGAGATAATCGAAGGGAATGAAAAGCCGATTAAGGCATACTGAAAAGATCAACGCAACGAGTTATACTCCCTGATTGATTTCAGAGTTTTGACAATATCACACTTTATATGGGTAATTTCAACCGTCATGCTCACACTATACTGACGATGGTCTCAATCAATACTAAGGTAGCAGACATATGCGAACACACAAGCAAAGTCACTAAAGCTGCAGAGAAGCTATCTAGACGATTGGAAGTCAGGGCCCCACCTTTTAACATCGAGCTTTGAAAGTCCACAACTGGCGACGAGGAGGTCAGCGAATTCATCGAAGATGTGGATACAGTTCTGTCCCGTGGTTTGCGCCTACCCACACGACCACCCCGACTCCCACTTATAGACTTCTGCTCACTACTCATCTCGCGCGAATCTTTCTCGCACATACACACCGCACTGCACGTGCACACGGCAGAGGCCTGCGTGTCCGCCTTGATGCGTCGCGTGTGCATGTCTACATCACTCTCGCTATCGGTTGCACCATCGTCATCGCCCTGGCTGTCGTCGTCTTCATCGCTCTCCTCCAAGTGGGTGCTGATTTCTAGGTGATAGGGCTCTATATCGAATGCTCTTTCTCTTTGGAATGTGCCTGTGATAGGCACAATGGCAAAACCGACCATGTGAGCGATCATTAGACTACCTGATCTCCGACATGTTACTTGACTTGTTAATTGTATCTCTCGACTCACAAACATTTTTTTTTGTTGAGGCCCGGTATTAAAATCTACACCCATTACTTGCCAGAAATTAGATTAGAGAAGTGAAGTTGTTGCAAATCCTCATAAAAATAAGGAGTATGAGCGCGCTAGCTAGATTACTATACCGTTGATCATACAGCACAAAAACTTCAAAGAATCATCAAGTTCGGCTCGCATAAGCAAAAATCCTAGCATGATATATAACAACTGACGTCCACACCCACCCACACAACCACCACAGTCGCAATGAGCACAGTATAATATCCGCCACGGAAAGTATTATCAGAAACATACCAATCAAGGCAACATGGAAGACAGAGAGTGGCGATGAAGACACAACAGCCCCCTCAGCGTCCGTTCGGAAGCCAATTGTGCCGATTTGATAGCCATCTGCTGTCTTGGGGAGAATTTGAATGACATTCGCTGGAAGTGTGGAGTCCTTGTTCATCGTGATGCGTACTCGGATACCAAGACGGTCGCCCTGCGAGTGAATTGCAGTAACCACAAATGAGTGGAAGGCACATTGCCGAGCTTATGGTCATTTAAAGAGTTATTTAAAAAAAAAAGTTGATATCAGCAACCAGCAGAGGCGTGAGACATAGTACAGACATGCATTAGAGTAGGCATATAGGAGACAGTAGAAAAGTAAGAACGGACCAGTGACAAGCAAAAGGACGAATAATAGAAAGCAATGTGGACATGATCTAAGAACTTATAATTGAAAAAAAGAAGTGATAGCTATATGGCGGATGGCAGGCCAATACAACTCTATTTTGAGCAGCTAACATAACGTCTTCACATGATATACCGCAGACAAGGCCACAACCGACCACAAAAACCTAGAACCCACACTGATGCGCACGAAACATACGAGTGCAAGCTTGTGCTCGGCAATGGGGTTATTGGACTCTCTCGAGCAGGTATCAATGCTGATGATCCCTTGCAATGGCGCGGCCACCTGTATCTCACTAGTGAGCCGCGCGGGGGTGTCGGCGGTTCCGTATCGGTTCACAACCGAGAACCAATCCTCGCACACGCTCGACACTATCGTCATGGGGTAGCTCAACGCCGGCAAGTGCAGCTCATGGTTAGCCGCCAGCCGGTCAAACTCTAGCTCGAAACGTGTCATCTCATACTGAACGCAGCACACCATCGGATCGTCACTGGTATCGTCGTCGTCATGGTGGGGATGAAGTCTAGACCGGGCGTGAGCGTGTGTCTCTCCTGAAGCGTGTGGGCGGGGCCTGGCGTGATCCGCTGCGGGCACTTTTGCGTAGCTGTGATTGGCGATTGAACGCGAGTTTAGTTGACAATGAGCATGAAGCAACTAAACATGCCCAGGCACCCACCAGATATCGTACACAAAGAAAGAAGTATGTTTGCGATGGATCTACACAGAAGTGCAGAAGCCAAGATTGCCATCAGATTGATAAGGGCATCAATTTTTTTTTACTACCACACTGTATATACGCACTCACCCCTGTCTCACATCAGCTGAGACTTTGGTGTCCGATCGCGTGGGCCGGCTGGTTTCACTGTCGGGGTCTTTGAGAGATCCTATCGCGCTCTGCAATGAGGAAAGAAGTCGGGCGCGCAGTATAAGAAACAATCTCTGAATGAGAATGGGAGCACATACATATCATGCGAGCATCGAACAGGAACATGTGAAGCCATTGATAGCTCTATATAGAGGTAAGAGTATGATATACCTGTTGCACTTTGGTTCGATCCGCGATGGCAGCATGGTCTCCTTGCACGTGCACGGGGCTGTCGTTGACGTTTTCTGTATTCGTCTGGTACTCTTTTTGCCACGTGTTCGCGTTCTGGAAAGCAATGTATAGTGTGTGCAGCCCAGACTCGGCGAGACCATCCTTGAGGTCAGATGGAGTGATTTCAACGGTGAAGGCCCGCTGTTCGTCTTTGGCAAGACTCATGAGCTCTCCAATAAGCAGAGGTACTAGGTCCGGACTAGAAGTGCCCTGTGTATCCACACTTGGTGTTCCTGCACCCATCACCGCACCGGTTTCCAGTTCAATTTGCTCAGCTTCTAATACCCCAGCTAGCGTAACCGGCTGTGGTTGTGCATGGCGTGCATGGCGTCCAGAGTATTAGCATACACACAAAGAAGCAGTTAAAGACCATGTAAGACTTAAGAATACAGACAGTAAAGATGCGCTATGTACACGGCCACTGTGCCGGAGCGCATTCAGAATATGAAATAACTTAACAGAATACTTGCTGTCGTCACATACGCAATCCAAAAGAACGCCACGTTTAAGCACGACTTCGGCGCAGCTCAAACATAAGTGCAGAAGGAGATCATTATTGGAAATACTAAAAGAGGATGCAATGCCAGAACTGTATTCCGAGAAAAACAAAAAAATCAATCAAGTGAGCTGGACACTATCCTCCACCTTAACGCGCACTAACTATTGTTTGGGAATCACATCTAGAGTCACACCTTTTGCGAATCCTCAGCGCTGTGGATCTGTGTGACCTCCCGCGCGTACACAGTCACACCGCTGGGTAGGTCGGTGGCTAGACTGAAGACCAGCGGTAGCTCAGCTGTGTTGCGCACATAGATAGTCTCCCTTACACAGTTCCATTGGCTCACATGGCCCACTTTCCCCATTGGCAGAGCGGAAGGCGACACCAGGCCAAAAGACAAGCCGTAGTGGCATTGCAGATCGACGATGGTGCACGAATATGTGCTCAGGTCTAGCCCGTTTAAGCCTGTAAGATGCATGGATAAAGCGGAAGATCAGACAACAGCTGTTGTAGGGAGAAAGATAGCCAGGTATTGCGATATATTAACGGAACAAGCTAAATTACGGCACGTAAGCATACTTTCATGCATTACAATAAGAAGTACGGTTGAATAATTAAGATACACAGGTAGCTTTAAAAAAAGGCAAGAGGTGTATCGCATTCAATACTCCAGATCAAGCGCGTAACCAGGCTGAGCAAACAGTAATATACAATATACACACCCAAGACTAAGTGAGGACAGAACAAGCATGAAGCAACTGTACAGACAACCTACACCAAAGGTATCACCGATGGACATTGCATCAGACAAAACGTCAGAACAAAAACTACAGTAAAAGTCTATCATGTATACGGCACACACCCAACCACGAGTGCTGCTCGTCTTGGGCCACATTGGGTGAAGCCTGCGGTGGTGATACTGGCAGGACGGGTGACTGCAGAGGAGCAAGTATACCGTAGTTGGCCCTATTCAAAGTACTGATACCGAACTGTGCGCCAGCGGATGACTCATCACTCAGACCGTCGGCGTCGTTGATGGTAAATGAGCCTGCGTCGCTCATCTCACTCATCATCAGATCCTCGCGTGTGTATCGTGGCGACAGTGGCCGTGAGGACGAGCACTCACCATTTAGTTCGCGAACTCTGTCAGCGAGGCCGTCCGGGATGGTCTATATCGAAGTGTGGAGAAGGGACGATGGTCTTTATAAAGGGTTGTATCGAACTAAGCTTGGGCGTGGATATTGAACATTGTACATGATGCGAAACTTGCTAGTGTGTAATAACCTTGCGCACGTACTGACACACCGTTAACAAACAGTTACAAGTGGACAATACACCCGATGGGCGTTCCTCTGGTCCGAGTAAGATTCTACTATTCCATCCACTTTTTAACTCACCTTAAGGTTTTCGAAGAGTATGCAACCGTATTGCAGCATTCGTCGACCTTCTCTGAGACGTCGTGACTTTTTGGGACCCAATCGTATTGGTGCGGGGAGCGTCACCGACACTTCGACCCGGGTATGCGGCGGAATGTACTGCCATTTGCTGCAGAACTGCACGAGCGAATGAGAATTGACGGAGATGTTTAATGATCGCGGTTGAGATTGTCATTTAGCCACTGTGTGTGACTGTACATGGATCGGGTTGAACTAAATATTGCATCGTGCTCAACCTCTACTAAACATTAAAAATGATACATGCGTGCACCAACCAAGGCCTCCATAAGTACAGTCGAAGCCTGTCAATATCAGCGCGAAGGCCAGTGTTCCAAGGGAAGGCTCTGAGCCCAGCTCAAACTCCCACATAGTAAAAGCCAAAGTAAGTACGAGAAAAGCCGACTCATAGTCTCACTCAACATGTAGCTACCCACTTGAAAGAACGACTACTAGCATACATAAATATATAAACTGAAGACGTAGCATATATAGATGAACTAAAGACGCAGTATTGAAATCACAAGTCGGCTCAACACACCTCCCACTTGACAGCGCTCAATTCGGGATCGGAGAGAGAACGTTCACCTGAACCTTTCGAGTCTACAGCGTCTTGTCTGGGCACTGCGTGGGCTTTGCGGTATTCTGGAGCTATCGTGCTCGGCGTGAGATTCCCTAGCTTCCCAATCTCCAGATCTGCGTTGAAAAAGAGATCCAATATCACTACCATCGCATTGTATCGTTTTAATACCGGTACAACAGGTAAAATTACATCGAAGGCGTGTTGTTGTTGTTGTGTAAAATAGTGGGTACAATAACACGGCCAGGGAATAAACTTACTTTTCACTGCTCCCCAGCTGAGCTTTAAGTCCAAGTTACACTTAGCTTTCAAGCATAATGGTTTGTCCGTTATGTTCGTTAGCGAGAACGTACACGTACTGTCGGTATGGAAAATCAGGTCACCAACTTTATGCGCCAATACGACTTGTTTGCCTACCACCCACTCGCTCCTATGTAGAGAATCTGCATGCATATTCCCATACTTGTCCACATTATTTTGAGTTTGAGCTTGCGCATGATCTGGTGGTGTTTGTGATTGAGTTTGCAGGTCGGTCACACCGCGGGGCAATTTGGAACCTGAATCTGGAGAATGACTCTTCATCTCTACGAATTTTGGATCGCCGTGGGCTTCATCATCGGTTCTCGTACAATTCTCCCCCAAATTATTGGACCGAAGGTAAATATTGTGGAGATTCAACCGGGCGATAGTGTCTCCGCGCAGAAACGGTAAGTCAATGGTCAGGCACCCCTCATCAACGAAGCGCCGCACAGTCACTCGCAAGGTTTGTCGCGGATTGTTGCGGTTCAGAATCGCTAGATTGCGCTCAAACAAGCCAATGAAAACCTATGAGGCGTGCAAAAATAAAGTTAGATATGCCGCAGCGAGATGTAGAAGCCTAGCACATATACGCTAGGGAGTCCCCATGCACCAACTGAGTTATTTATGTCCATAGTATATCAACGAAAGCTAGTAGCGTTCCCAACTCTGACTAACATGCAGTGTAAATCAATCCTGTAACTGACTTGCACAGCACGATGCTGTTTGCCATCATACCCTCTACCAAATACAAAAACGTGGGAAATATTTCGAACGACCCACCTCATCAGCCGTCACAGAGACGGTCACCCTGGACCCTTCTCCATCCCCTCTGGGCGCCAGTGTTCCGTAGTTGGGCACACACTTTAGTCCGGCGGGTGCGAGGATAGCATAGGATGCAGGCATCTCGCGGTTGTGATTGTAGATGGTGATCGAGGATGTTGCGGCCTCGCCGATGTTGCGGGTGGCTCCCATCTTCACATACCTCGGATCCACGGACATGATCGACATGCCAAACTTTGCACTGGACAACATGCAGGGTATGCTCGGGTGTAAGTACCACTCGTATACTTTCCCCCCAAATAGTAGGCGTATGCTGATTTCAAATACAGTCAAGATTGGAACACAGACTGAGATGAACGACCAAAATCAACGAAACGACATTCGTACTGATACATATCTCTTGTATCGTATTAAGCTTCGTGTGACATGAGACATAGAAACAAACGAAAACACTACGATTCGCGCACGTACCTTATTTTCAAAGTTTCGGTGCCGAGTAGATGGTTGTCCGCCAGACCCTCCTTACAGCCCTCGCCAGCCTGTAAGGTTGACAAGAGCAGGCCTTCATCGCGTTGCCTGTGAAAATGCGAGCGAGACATAATTGTTAGGCACATATGAATGTAGTCTTATAGTGTGAAATCCGCGTGGGGTGCCCTGTTTTGAAGTGATACTGGATATTCGCCATATCACCACGGTTAAAATCGACTCAATCCACGATATACTCAAACAAAGAATAATTGTATTGTTTTAGCATTCTTGCCTCCGAAATGTTGCCAATGCACACGGAAGACACCGATCATCGACTGGTTCGCGGGATTTTAAATATACTAGTGCAATTTCAGACTGTGAACAACACTTGAAAAGACCTTTGAATATTCGTCTATTCAATGTATGGCGCATACCCGTATATGCTGAACCTTACTCCGCCGACCAGCTCCCTACACTCACCCCCTTCCAGAGACTCCAAGCGAACATTCGGTGACAGCCCCAGGTAGACAGTCACAGACTGGAAGAGGACAAAAGTACAATTAAGCGAATGGAAGATCGGGTTGAGAGAAATAAATATATCCAGGGTCAATTGGGGTAATATACGTAGTATTTTTACGAATGCACAAATCAGCAAAGTAATGGCATCACAGTAAGACGACGAGCCCGTAGAGAGTCCATTGAGCATTTCTACTACGCAAACCGTATATTGTAATGAGCATCATGCACCGGTACTTTCTACTTTTATTTCAAATTTAACCTCCAATAGCAGCACGTACCATTTATTTTGGCAGTGATAAGGAGTCTACGAGCTCTAAAAGAGTCACACGGAATTGAGTCATCAATAGCCTATACACACCTTCATTGCCGGTAGTGAGACACAGTCCGCTGCCGTGGTCAAGGACTCGTTCGCGAATATCCAGACCTGATATAAAGAACGTATAAATTTCCCAGAGGGTTTAGGAATATACAATACACTTCAAGAATGGGAGAAAGCGCAATCTGATGGCCAGGGGAAGTCAAAGGTGTCTCTGAGGATAGCTGAAGCCATTGTGCATGCAAGAGTGGGCCACCTTGACCTCGTTTAGTGCTACAATGTAACTATCCCCCTCCCTACAATTCTCCCTCCAAAACACACACGCACATACCTGCTGGGCTAAATTTGAGGAGCACGACAGCCAAAGGGGCTCATCATATATTGACGTAACCGTAATGGGATGGACCAGGGAGTAGCGCTGATACGGCGAAACAAAAAAAGGCGGCAATTTCAGCAGATTCTCCGGCGGAGATAGATCTACGACTTGGGTAGGGCCGGACTCAAGCCCAGTTCGAGTGGGCTGTAAAAATAAGGATTAATTTAACGACGAGTGTGAGTATAGATAACGGCTTCTTAGGTTAAAACTGCTCCTTCGAAATGCAGTTGCAGACGTGGCTCCGTTTGAGTATAGGGTCTAGCTATTCAAAGCATGAATTCCAAAACACACTCTCTCACTCACCACTGAGTCCGCTCCAATGCCAGCAAACATGATATATTGTGGTGCCTTGCGGACAATTTGTAGTACCACCGCTTCTTCACATGCTGCTGGTTGCATTACATCCGAGCTGGACGACACTAGTTCCATTTTAGAGGACTGAGCCCATGCCTGCACAAGCAACTGATACACATGCTTGCCAGGAAGTCGGCTGTCGTCGAGTCTGATGGTGATGTTCGCACTTTCACCTGGCTCAAGCTGGTCAAGAGTGTGAGAAAGGATAAGTCACCACAAATATCAATGTGGAGTGGAGCGATACGATAGATCTCGCGAGCATCGCTTCTTGAAGGATGGAGGCATGCAAGGTGGCTATTTAATCTCTAAGTGTGCCATATATTAATGCAAATGTTTTTAAGCAGAAGAATAGTAACTGTTTTCATGAGACGAGTCACAACGGATAGAACACTAAGAATACCAGTCAAGGAGGGCTCCACATGGAGTGTGCGATAGGCGGAAGTGGGTCTGCGTGAATTCTAAATCTAAATGACGCCGATAAACTATACTAAACCCAAAAAGAGGGTGTGGCTGGAAATGGAGTGGCTACATTGGACAGCGGAATAAACATCCGTAGAGACAGAACAAAGAGAAGGTGTTGGTTAGAGAAGGCCATAAAAAAGATATGTAAAAGTTGAGCAACAAAAAAAAGATCCAATCTATACCCTCATGTCATCTTCAAGAGAAAGGCTGTGCTGAAATGGCCTGTCGAAAGCTTGCATCGAGTCCATCGATTTTGGAGTAGTTAGGGTGATAGAGCAGTCTAACATGGTATTGATACACACATCAATGCTGCACTCGTTGCACTAAACACAACTCTCGAAGGCGTTTGGTTACAAGATCATAGCTCAGTGTAGGCGAGTGACAAAAGAATCAGTCGACGTAAAGTACTCCAAGCGATTGAAACACTAATAAGTACATATATATCAGGACAACTGATTGGGTTGTGAGATAGTACCCAGCCATATCACTAACGCACAGACCCATCGTTGGAACATAATTTCAAAACTTGCAAGCAGCTGTAGGGATGTGATCGCTATCAGCAAACTCTGACAATTTCAGTGTCACATACCTGGCCTTCAGATGGCGTAATCGCAAGTGTTTGTTGTGGGTTGGGTATGGTGCCTCTAGCCCCCTCATTCAGAGAAGTATACGTCCCACTTGTATCTGCCACCGCACCTAAACCCAAATTTTTATGGTGGCCCAAATCCCCCTCCGGAATTCGACTTGCTGAGCTGGTCGATGCTGGTGAGATATCAACAGTTTTCAAATCCTTCGGGTCTCCTGCTTGAATACCCTCGTTTCCAGCTAGTAGCGAGCGCGTGCTCGAATGAGAGCTCGTGGCAGAGTTTAAATTCGCGGCTACACTGCCAGTCAACTTGGTGCTCACACCCCTGACCGATATAATCATAACCAAGTAGTACAAAGCATTCCTAGGATGGGTGTTGCGCATGACTAAATTTTTCTCCCCACTGACTCCCACATCCAGCTGGCCCCCGTCGATCACGCCCTTTGGCGACAGATCGAACGCCACAGGACACTCCTCCGGCGGAGAAGTGTTGCAGGCTTGAATATCGCCACTGCGCCCAGTCATCAAGCTTTCCTGACTGCTGCTCCACAGAGCACGTCCCTGTGCTTCAGAGGCTAGAACTGCCACGTTCGTAATCGGCGATGAGAGTGACTGCGTGGGATCACCGGAGTGGGTGTTGGTGTTACCTGGCGTGGTCACGTCCACGTGTCCAGTCTTGTCGTCATGCCTTTGAAAACGTCCGGGGGTCGCAAAACTGTTCCCAGCCGCATCTAACATGGACGAGCTCGAAGCAGAACTCCCGATATTTCCTGTACCGTCCACCTTCCTGCCTAAAATGTTGCAAAAGTTTGTCCTGGGTGATATATCACCACCTGAGCTACTACTAACGGACTTAACCAGACCTTCTAGGCCGCCTGACTCTTCAGCTGTCTCTCCATTATCCGAGGCGCTGGCAGCTATAAAGGACGCAGCATCATTGCTAGATTGACCTATCATGGTACTGTCGCTAACCCCAGCGCCGCCCTCTGCACTTCGAAATACCTCAGAGTTAAGAATGGAAAGCTTCCTGTCTCTGAGATTGCGCGCATCTACATACGGCGACCGTGGTGGTGTCGAGATCGGAGAACACGGTGTCGTAGTGCTCAGCAACGTGGATGTGTTGCCACTCAGGGCTAACAAAGACGACTGCGGCATGGCCAAGATAGCTTGCAGTCTTTGTCTGAACAAAGGATCTATTTTCGATGCGAGCCGAGTTGCTATCGGTGGAGCTTCTACCCGCTGCGGTGACAGTTGACTCTCCTGCACTGTAGCAATTGGTTCGTTCTGTTCTGTGGTAGTGTCGGTGTCCTCGAGGCACGCCACACTCGCGCTCGCACTGAGACCATCGAGTGGCTGGCTGCCTTCAGCTGTACATATGTCCGTGACCATTCCCGTCGCGGCTGATGGGGTGCTACACACGCACACTCTGTATGCGACAATCTTCAGCAGATCCTTGTTGCGGTCTTCGTGCACTACCAAACCCCCTACTACAAATTCCATACCCAGTTGCGATAACGCTGTGTCACTGGCACACGCCGTCCTCAGCTGATCATTAGAGAACACAGTAGGCGCCGTCGCACCCGTAGAGATATCTCCAGCAGGCGCATAAGGATGAGGGGCTGCAAACGTGCCAGGCATCTCTTCGTCTGCTTGTCCTTCGCTTTTCAAAGGTTCCGCATTTCCTGCGGCGTTGCAACCCGCGATCGATTCTTGCCCCCTGCCTGCAATGTTCAGGGTAGAATTTGCCCCGCCGTCATGGGCAAGTGCGTTAGATACGGTCCCTTTGCCAAGTTTCGTCCTCGCTACGTCGTCTTTCTGACCTGCGCCCGAGACATTGTCGGCACTCACAGCGTCGTTGCCCATAGCCACCAGCGGTACACTGATCTGCATGTGTGTGGCCGCGGGGTCGTCTCCAGCGTCTGTGTTGTTGTCCGTGACGGCTGCGTGCGGGTTGAGCAGTGACATGAGCTTCTCCCAACGCCAGCGCTTACGCACCAACGAGCGCACCTGCTCCTCGCGAAGGGTGATCTTATTCCCTGTGACACTGGCAGCACGGGTGTTCGAGCTGACACTCGTGTCTGCTGGTGCGGAATCGCCGCAGTCAGAATCTGTGCGGGTACTATTGGTGGTGTAGTCTGTACTGCGTAAGGCTCGAGCCGTGACAAAGACGGTCACTCCACGAGCTGACATAGCATCGATTGTCACCACAACCCCGGTACAATCATCCAACAGCCGGAATCCATTGGTGGTGGTTCGTTCTTTGTCCCTGTCACTTGACCCTGCTCCAATTCCGCCGGTTGATTCAGCTACACTGGGTGGGGTGGTAGCACGGGGCGCCAGAAGCACACTCTCACTCTGACCAGACCGTGTATGGTCACCGAGGTCCGCTACCCTCCCGACCTCTCCGAATCCTGTATCTCCAGATTTCCCCACACCTGTGCCCCCTTCTACCTGGCTAGACATCGTCGTTCCGTCTACAGCATGCAGCAGATCGGACTCTTTAACACTCGCGCTACGCGATACAGTAGTGGAGATCGGCGGGGTGATATCACGTGCGGGTGTGCTAGCCGGTGTAGTCAGGGGTGTGACCCCGGCCGTTGCTGACAGCACAAGCGATTTTTTCTTAAGCTTCTTCCCTTTGGCACCTTTCGTAGGCGCCTTAAGCTTCTTCAGCTTGCCTTCGATTTCCTTTTTCTTGTCGTGTTGTTCCTTGCGTATAGCAATCTTCAGTTTTTGTTCTAGACCCTGTTTTCAGTTATGTTGCACAGCGGTGATTTGACGACATCGAAATAAGAAGACATCACGCGTAGTTCCGAAATCGAAATTCAAAGTTGATTCGTGCTCACCACCTCTTTACAGAAGTATGAAAATACAGACCAAAGAAGCATAAACAAGTTAAGTGCTCTATTTGTCCGTTCTATCTATAAGTGAGTATTCAGAGTTCGCAATATAGGAGTCGTTCAAATTGAAATAGTTGAGATGCCTTTTCCTAGCATCCTTCCAGTACCGTTGAACGCGGCACAACCCTCGAGCCCTACAAAACAAAGCATACCTCAATTTTCTCCAAGTCCTGCTGCGAAATTAGGCCCTCATCCTCGGCATTCGCCTCCTCAAACTCGAAGTCGAGTTGTACGGCAATTGCAGTGCACATCCCACGGTCAAGTCGGATCACATACTGGCGTGAATTTGCGGTGTTATTAGTCACCACAACAGACGCAGCCTTCGACCGTTGTCCAATGACCAAACAACCGAAATCTACAAATAGACTCTTGATCATAAAGGCCTTTGGGGACTTGACTAATGCCTTTACGGTTACTTCTTCTTGACTGGTCTCGTCAAGGACGTTGACGATCTTGAGCGTTTCCTTAAAAACTCCGGCAAACGTAGGCTTGAACATAAAATTCACGCCCCTGCGGAGGTAGGCAATTGTGGTTGTGTGAGTGGCATGAATTGGGCGTTCCTTTGTAATAACACACTTCGGGCACAATTAACAACCACAACCAAAAACAAATAAGAAAAGCCGAAACTGCCTAAAATGTCTAGTCCCAAATCATTCACATCCAATCCAACTCGAACCCAGCGTATCCACGAACCGAGACAATATCTAATCACCACCCTCTTGTCGTTATGATCCTGGGATGAAATGGTCCTATCGAGCTTGATCCCTAGGATCTGCCTAACCTAACCCAGACTCCGCCAACAAACCTCAACCCCACATACGCTGACCCAAATGAAGACCAGGCTCATGATAGTCCAGATATACACCAATACCTTCAGAACTGTTGTTTCCAGCAGTAACCCTAACCATCATCAACAGTTTTAACCTAACCTCATACAAACCGGCCGACTCAGTACCATCCAACCTAAACCACCCAAAACGATAACATACCGCTTGTCGAATGGTTTCACGACACCCGCCCGGCCTTCGCGGATCTGTAGATCTCCTGATGCAATAGATCCGGATTTTACGACCTTATACAGCATGGGCAACTCCGTGTTGTTGTTGATCACCAGTGTTTTCACCTGCGCCACGTGGTCTTTCAGCGTGAGATGGCCGAAATTGATGTACTTCTGACCCACTGACACTGCGCTTGTGCACGCTTTGCCCAGCAGGCGGAGTTGTCTGACTGCGATGCTCACAGAGAGTCTACCTGCCTTCACAGATCCCGCAATTGGAGGCCCCAACGCGATTGGATCTGTGCCAATCCCGTCCACACTCGTGTCTTCGTCGCGTGGTTCAAGCACACTAAATTGGTTCAGCCCTGGATTCCAATACATGGGTCTGATCAGTAGCTTCTCCTCGATCTTTCGCAGCTTCCTGCTGGAAGGGTTCGAACTGCTACCGTGTAGGGACGGGATGTATACCACGTATACAGTGATTTCCTCGTTTTGCTCGAGTGTAACCATGGATATTTCAGCAAGCCGGCCATCGAGTATGGCCCTTTGTAGTTCCCAACTGGATTTAAACGGGAAAAGAAGCGGATAAAAGCGGAAGTTATTATCTGACGATACCTCTCAATCCCCAAGTAGTACACCAAACGAGAAGGGAGAAAAATTGAGCGCAGAAAGAAGCACCGTGGAAGATCAAAATACAAGTTACGGTTAATTTGGTCATGAGACGGTCGAAACTCTCTTGCAGGAGCAACATGCTTACCGTCTGCGCTGTACGTGTTGGATAAAGTCTATCTCGTCCTTGGGCGACAAAGAGTGAGACGGCAGGAACTGTTCCTCCGTAAATGACTGCACAATGCGTGTCAGCTGCCACGCACCCTCCTCCTCGCCCTCGCCATCACTGGCAATCCCATGCGATGTGTCCGAGCCCGCCTTACTGTCAGTAGTTGGCATAGCCAGGTGCATCCCAGTCGACCCCCGCGACAGCCCCGGAGCGTACATGTGACCTTTCTTGTGTGTGTCAAGTGCGTTGCCTTTACCCTTCTGGTGTGGTTGCCCGCTGCCACCACTGCCCCCGGTCCAAGTACTCTTACCCGTACCCGCTGAGTTTCGGGCCTCGTCATACGCCCCGTTGTCGTAGGCATCGAGTCGTGAAGGAGATGGGCTGTTCCGGCCTGAAGAGATTCCTCTATTACGACTCAAGCTACGCCCACTCCCCCTCTCCGAATCACCGCGTGGATGCGATTTGTTATCACGAGTGCCGCTGTTGCGTAACCCCATGCTCAAACCTCTACTGGATTGTACAGAACTGCGAGGACTGCTAGGCGACGTTGAGTAGTATCTTTGCTTGGTCAGCTGCGACGGTGGGCCGGGAGACTGAGTAGGAGACCGTGTCATATCGCCGCCTAGATAAGGTAACCATGCTTGAAAATTTAGTCGAACACGCTGTTGATAAATGAAAAGCACACCACAGGGTACACACAAACACACATAAACTTTAAATATATATATATACATATATATATACACATATGCATATAATATATATATACTATACATAAATATATATATACATATTATATAGATATATACATATATTTATATATATATATAGATGTATAAATATACATACATATACATACATACACACACGCACACACACGCACACACACACACATATATATATTTATATATATATGTATATATTAATATATATCAATATATATATTAATATGCATTAATATATATATATATATATGTATATTATATAATTTATATATATAAATAATTTGATCGCGGGGTCCAATCACCAGGGGTATCATACGAATCACGAACGAATATGGGAAACATACGGATGCTTGGGCTGGGATGTGTTCGACCCAGTGCGTCGAGATCAGTCTGTATCCGTTGTAGTGCAATAGTGCCAGGTGATTTCGGTTCAGCCTTCCTTGCGAGATCGAGATATTCGAAGTCAACTGAAGTGGAAAATTGGGAAAGAATTTGTAAACAAACATTTTTAGAGTTGATATTCCCCAAGCAAATGTATATGGTGTCTGTGTTCAGTGAAAGTCATTCAAGAGGACCGGTCTGGATTCAGAGCAGATGACAGTCTGGACAAGACATCCTTAGGTATCAACCACAGCCAGTACCACAGCCAGTACCACATGAATGCACCAATTGTTGCTTTCTAAATCTTTGTGGGTTCTCCGTGGCGCAACTCATACATACCAGAGCGACCCTCAGCCTTCGACACTGAGTAAGCTTTGGGCCGTGTGCTGTCGCGATGATGCGCGTCGTCCACCCAGGTATCGGTTTCCATTGACTCCAACAACTTTTCTTTGCGTCGCAATAGCCGCTCCTGAGTATTGGTCGACGGTCTGTTCTCTGTTCCCTCCCGCATCCCGTCATCAATACCCATCACGTCTCCGGACGATACGCCACTCCCTTCCTTAAACGCCCCCGGAAGTTTAGGAGTGTACAGTTTGATCTGGGAAGGGCGTGTGGTGAATAGGTCCAAGTGCAATTGTTCGCTGTGCAAGCTCTTGATCTTGAATGTGCGCAGGCTGGCGTTGTTGTTAACCATGGTGGCGAAGTTGATGTCGCCCAGCGGGCTGCCTGTAGTGACGCGGTAGATCACCGAGTGGAACGAGTCTCCATGCTGGTCGATATTATTCGCGCGCACAATCAGGGTATGACTGTTATAAGGTAAAAGAATAGATACGTTTTCCCGAGTGGAATATAGTGTAAGTAACATACTGCGACTGCTGAATGGAATTGCGTATCCAAAATGATTACACGCTTTGAATGAAATGTAAGCCTTGCCCTTTCAGCAGTGCTACTATAAAACTGAATGCATGACTCAACACATGTCCAAGTTTGTTGCGGGCCAATGAGTTCGACTGCCCGACCACACCGACAGTTCTGGCATAATTGTAGCGACTCACTGAAGCAGAACACATAATACGAGAAAAAAACACAACAAGAAGTTAGCACACGGGCTGCCCTCACCTATCTTCGTCGTTGTTGGTGTTGCTAAAGTGAATATGTTTCACATATTCAGGATTGACTTTTCTGGCCCGTACATCCACGCGGATGTTGATCTGCTGCAGGGGGGGTATCGTAATGGACATGATCTGCGAAGCCCCTCTCCCACTGCCACTAGCAAAGATCGATGTGACACCCTCGAAGGAATGGGGCGGTTCTCTGCTGGCAATGCCGCCACTCGGCGGTGGCGCATCGGTTGTGTCCTCGTAGTCATCCTGATTAGAGTGACAAGCGAATACAACGGGATTGAATACTGGCGCCACCCGTACTGCATTGTGATAATTTGTCCTACCCCAAAAACGGCGCTGGAACTACAACACACAGGGGGAGAATAGTGGATGTGATAGTGTGCAGCGACACCCAGACACTGAACATGTAGTCATGCAGCCAATTCGGCCAGTAGTAGGAATATAGCGGCAGTCCACCGATTAGTAACACAAAAAAAAACCGCTTGGAAGTACAACTAGCTGATGTCGGGCATGAAAACCAATGAAATCGTACGCGGACCAAATATTGTACGTTTGATAATCAAAGGCCATATTCCAGGTACAACTACAGAAAGTGATGCTTTCATTCCCGCTCAAACTCCTACCTGGTCATCGTGTAGCTCGACTAGTCGTATTATCTTCGACTGATAGCGCACATCAATGCTTGCAGGCAGCGCCGAGAGATTCCTCAGGCTGATGGTTTTACTGTAGTGCTTCCCGATGATCAGATCTCCAAAGTTGAGCTCGTCCATAGAGAGCATCACTTTGGACAAGCACACACGCGCTGTTGCGTGGATCACTCGCCACTGTATCTCAGCCCCCGCCGCGTCGCAACATTTGATGCGCAACCGATAGTTGCGGGTCTGCAATTGATACAATTGTTTGGCTTGCTGTGGGGGTTGCAGAAGGTTTCGGGATTAGTCAAAGAAGTAGAGGAAAAAGCTAGAATATGAAAGGGGCGAGGAGTATACGAAAGCGGTGAGCAGGACACATACTATCGAAATCAACAGATTTTTAGCCTGGGCTGTTTTGATACGTTTCTATCACTCGCAGCGGTCTTCACAAGGACCATAGGACGGACGAATTTTCATGAATGCGTTTTGAACTCGATGCTGGTATCCTCCCGACCAAAGTGAACACATTCATACCTGGTTTTGTTGGTGCATATTTTGTGTCTTCTGCTGTGGCTGGTTTGTAACAGAGGAAATACCTCCTGTAGATTCCACGTCTGCGCTGCTGATATCGCTGCCGTCACCGAGTTCGATAGGACGGTATCTGACCACAACCATCTGCAAGGCAGCGACGTGTGATATATACAGCAAGGTTTATAACCTGAAAACAGCACAAGCATGCCATAGAGTTATACAGGTATACAGGGTGAATGCAGCAAAGGTAAGATGTTGCCGTCCGAAGCCAACGCCAAGATTCTGTTATGAGCCTGGGATATACCTCTGCCCATTGGTGATATATAGGCATACAGCAGATACTTTGGAGTAGATCCAGCAACTTACTCACCTGCTCACGGTTTGGTAGCAAACTGAACTGCTCGCTGGATTGACTGGTACTTTCTCGTCGCGGCTTCTCCTTTCGGCGGTCGTCGTCTTCCGAATCCACAATCATCACGCCGTGATGGTCACGGCCACGTCGATTAGACCCAATCAGAGCTCCACTACGGGGTACGAAGAAATGTACATCGCAAGCTATCAGTTGCTGCAGATCTTATCATGCACTATATTTCGATGTTGCGCGTGGGGTTCGTGTGTGTGTGACAGTTTGGCCCGTACGTTCCCGTGCTTCTGTATGCGCCCGCACCGGGCTATTGAGTGTTCGGCATCGTTGTGCCAGGGCAGAGAGTGCGGATGCAGTGCACCGGTTTCCTTAGATACTTCGTCAAAATTCAGACAGAACAGTCCAGCCTCGCACGTGCATATAAAAATTACAAGCAGAGAACAAAATAAGAGCCAACAGCTTCCAGAAAGAGAGAACAAGGCTGATCCAACGCCGCCTGATCTCAATTATCTAACATATGGTGCACGGCAAGATCCCACAACAGACATACCCTGGGCCATCGCGAGCATCCTTCCGTTGCATCAGCGGCGTGTGTGTGCGTGAATGAGCCCGGGGCTGCGAGCGATTGAACTCCTTGAGACTCTCGGTGCTATCACCCTTGATACCACCCATGTTGTTTACGTGCTTCTCCGGGTTCGCGCCCCGTCTCGCGGGAGTGTGTGGTCGATCTGAATCGTTCGGAGAATCGTAATCTTCCTCTGTCTCTGGCACTGCATGATGGGCATGAATACGATGGTCAAATTATGCTGGGGATAGAACTTGCAATGCTTCGCGGGCTCATTTGAAACAATAAGATGTCTAGGACAACGGGAGCAGTAGCGTGCAAATCAACGACAGAAAAGAACGACCCAATCTCACCAGATGGATGGTGGAAGGTAATCTCTGGGGGTACTCCATCGTCACTAGTGCCGTCGGTAGGAATCGCGAAGACATCAATGGGTTCCACAGTCTCGTTGCGCAGTATAATGGTCCACTCGGCCGAACGGTGAGCGTAGACGTCGCCGAAGTCTATGCGCCCGCCACCACTGACCTGTTGAGTCGCATAACATGCACTTGAGCAGGCTAAAAGGCGAACAGGCTCACAATTATAGATACTTCTTAAAAATTAAAATTACGGCATTCTTAATGTCATTCAGTTGAGAGTTGTATAAATATTTTAATAACGCATCACAAATGTTCCCAGTGTCGCCTTGCGTGTGGCTTGAAAGCCGGAAGTATGTTTTGGTAGGTTCCTGTGCTTATCTTTGCCACGACCATTAGAAAATCCGGATGTAAGTAAGCTGGCGAAAAATACTACGCTGGTGCTGATGCACTACCTGTGTACCCTTGTACTTCCATAGCATGTGCACATTCCACCTATACGAAGGACAATACATGTACCCAACTACACACACCACATGAGAAACACGCACGTTGGAGGATACACGACGACATACCCAGAGAGCCTGACTACGCTGTTCTGCCGTCACCGACGCATGCACAGTGATGCGCTCGACATTCGACAGGTTGCGCAGATTCTCCAGCTGGAGTACCATTTTGAATTCGCCCACTGTGGTAGGCGAGTACGACAAGCGAATGCGGCACTGCGAGAACCCGGATGCCACGTTGATCTCTCTCTTGGGATTGATGGGGTATCCTGTTTCCAGTTCAGAGAACTCACACAAATCACCCTGTACGAGATTTCATACGTTTGTGTTATCAAAACAAAAAAAATAGCTGAGTGTGTAGTAACGGCCCTTGTGCACACATTTTTTGGCATGAAGCGAGGGTGCATGTGTGAATATTTCGACTAGAGAATAGGAACACGGACTTCACACCGTGACACAAGATGGCAAAACATCGTAACTTAGTTTTTACCAGAACAGTGCTTGCAATGCCTCAAGTCGTTTTAGTGATGAACAAAATACTTCCACATACCTCCTCACGCTTGAGGCCGTGGAACACAAGGTACAACGCGACATCACATATGACGTGGCGCGCATCGTATCAACCACGCAAGTACACGTCTTAACAGAACGCACATTCAGAACTAGTTCAATTTTGAAACGCCACTCCCGCTAAAAGCTTCAAATATAATTTCCGATCTCAACGCAACAAACCTGGCCGTCCGTGCTGTCGGTTGCCAGGACAAATGATAGCGGAAACTCTGAGCAGTTCCACACAGTGAAATCGCGTACGTACGTCTGGTTGGTCACACAGTCGTCCAAGTCCATCTCTCGCTCTGCCTGGTCTACTCGTAGTATTGACTGGCATACCAGTGCTTTGAACCTGGCCATATGCGTGTATAGTGGATGCTGTGTTAGTTGAGAATACACAAGCACTGTCTTTGACGAGTTCATGAACGCATGGACATCAAGACTGTCGTCTGGACCAGGTCGCAACCACGGTGCTACAAGATCCGCACACCACAAGCCGATACCTGGACAGTCCAACGGTCATCAACGCGAGGCGCGCAACAAACATACCTGATAGACAGAGACTGGGTCAGCAGTGCACTAAAGCGTGTTCCTAAGGATTTTTGTGGATCCAACTGAGCCTCAGCAGACGGTGTAGTGGTGCCGCTGTTCTGTTCCGATGCCTCGGTTGAGCTGTGGTTGCACTCAGTCGCATCTATAAGGCAATCTGACATACAAGGGGTAAGATTGAGTGTGGAAAATGTCACGAGTGCGAGCGTCGATATGACAATCACTACACTGCACCAGCAGGCGATGTACGTACTTGTGCCGTAGATAATGTAAACAACGGGGCGGCACGGAGTGTTACACGGGAAAAGACACCCTGCAATCGATGCTACAAATAGTGCAACAAGTACTGTGACCAATCACCCAAAAGGTGTTCTTACAACCGGTGATATAGGTGGTATATCACAATATCTGATGCAAATGATGTGTTACCGGGGTTCATAAAAAGGCAAACCGTGGAGACAATCTGCGTGTGTGGAAAGACTTGTGGTTGTGTCGCTAATTGCCTGAGTACTCAGCACACAAATAATGGAGCCGCTGACAATGCACTGTGCCGCCTTCGCTATTCCACACAACTTCGGGTTGTCAACCAAACAAGCATCTCAGAACCACCCCACACACTTTCTAAATACTGAATTCGAGATAGAATTAGAGTGCGAAATCCATCGTCGCCATATTCACCTTTTATTACCCTCCCCGTCAGCACGATGGACCCATTGATCTCCGACGCCTTGTAGGACGCGAGCGGACCATCTTCTGATGATGAATGAGCTTCCGCCAAGAAGACCAAAACTGTAACAAGCGAAGCGCATGGAGAGAGCAGGTGTGTATATGTATGAGATCGAAATTTAATGCAACTATCCGAAAGTCACCGAGGAGCATCAGAACGTTTCGTAGTGGGCTAGATTATTTGAAGACAATCTTATTTCGGTCAATTGCACCATCTATATGACTGAATTGATTTGTACATACGCCTCTGGGTGTTGAATGTGAAACGTTGTGCCTGAAGAGTACTATTCTGCATAAAAAACAAGTAATTGGAATTAATTAATAACCAAGGAGCAAGAGGGGCACTCTGAGTGACTGCAAAAACATTCTCACTCGGCCTTGGGAAAGAAGCTCGCGGATTGGCTAACGCATAGCAGAACGTATGGCGAACACGCGGCAGAAATACTATCACCTATTGATAAAGTACTCGTCTTGAACCCAAATTGCAGCGCAAGTATATGTATTTATCATGAGATGTTCGGTGTTCGCGTGATCTGGATTTAGTACACACCGGCGTGAAAGCACACTCTCCGGTACTTCAGGTCTCCACTTCCGGGCGCCCGTGAAGTACAAGTACAAGCATCCATTTAAATACCAGCGACAAATGCCAGAGAACAAACACACAGTGCAAGTGGAGACCATACCGGAGCAATGCGAAACTTCTACAGACAAAAACATAAACTAACGTCCAACTTCATTATTCTCAAGGTTGGACCAGGGTATCACTAGCGTATGTAGTTGAGTAACTCGAAGGATCCATCTTAATTTTTAGGCTATTTTCGGTTGTGCAACTTATGTCGTGTGTCTCTTCCTAATAGAAATCCCCATCAACACACCGAGAGAAGTACACGGAACTTCACGTATACGCTCTTGAATACTATATATATATATATATATATATATATGTATATATATATATATACATACATATATATATATATGAATCAACGCACAGGGTCAACATGTATGCCCAGATGTACCCACTCTACTAAGATACATTTTTCCGTGTCGCTACAATCCCAGATTCAAAAAGTTGTCGTCCCGTAAGTTCTAACAACACACAGCACATCAAATAAACTATGATATAGCAAACGCAAATTAGAAGACGTACTTATCTGTTGCGTAGCCCTGGGTGGAAGCACGAGCTCATCCACCCATCCTACTAGATTGAACAAACTATTCAGATGTGGGCCATGCGACAAGTCCCGATCATCCGGCAAGTTCAAGTTGCTGAGCTGGAACTTAAGCTGTGTGCCTAAAGTGGACCGCAGTCGCACACGCAACGGCTGGTCGCTATGACTGACCACGTGCATACGTCGCAGCACACGCATGTCGTTGATCACCACATTGTCCAGGGTCAGCCGGAGGTTCTCGACATCACACCCAAACAATACACGCGTGTTGGCTGTCATCTGGGCAGAGGCATTCCTACTTGAGCTTGTGCGTGTGCGTGGCTCTGTATGTGTGCTTGGTATGTCAGTCCTCGAACGACTACTGATTGTTTGTGCCGGTGCGTCTTCTAGTTTACTCCGTTCCGAGTTTCCCTTCGCAGACACTGCAGATGGTGTCCCTAAAGTACCAATCCCATTCATTGTTGTAGTTTCGTGGTGTGGGGTGTCGTGGGAGCTATAGGTTTACACACTGACGTAATATAAGTGTAGACGGAGCTTGTCTACTCGCATGGAGTATGCTTGTACACATGTGAGTGCTATAAATAGGCGTCTTGTACCACCATTCGATATTGAACTTGCGAAGGTAAACAACAATATAATACTATAATCTCCAGGGTCGTATTTCCATTAAAATCTGGACTGTCGTGCCCCTATCCCTTAATACATGCATTGTGGAGGTCGAAAGTGAGACACGCATGAAAAAGCAGAGACGTCATAATCTGTTCGATTGTACGACGACTCGTATTGTATCTGGCAACAGGTGCAGATGTCCGCTAGTCGATACCTCTCTACCCTCGTAGTAGCTTCGGAACTGTTTATCGAACATACAACAGCAGATGTCAACAAGTGAGAAGTGGGCGAGAGGCACAGACCTTTCTCCCATCTCCCACTCTCACTCCAACTTTTCTTTTTTAGCTGCGATTACGAAGGCCCAATAATAAATCTGACGGGTCATTAAAAAAAAGATGATAATTAGACATTACGTGTGGACTGACTTTGATCAGTGATGGGGAAAGTATTTATATTAAAATAGTAGTAGTAGTAACTACCCCTTCTCGTTATAGTTCTTATATACATTGTGTACATGGTTCAGTATTGGCTGTAAAGTGATACTACATCTGCTTGGTGGTAAAGCATGGCTGGTGTTTAACATAGCTGCCCCCGCCGTCGATTCGCGTCGTCTTATATTTGCGGTACGATGGGTTACAAATACATAAATAAAATCGCACTTGTTTGCGGCGATGAGGACCCTCCTGCCGGTTATGTTGTGGTGAGTGAAATCTTTTGGATTATGTATATGTCGTTGCTCAGCTGGGCGATGATATTGGTGAACACGAGTTCATCTTTGAGAAACAGACACGAACAGCTCTTATATACACATATCAACATATATGAGTAGACCCATATCCTTTTATTTATCAAGGCAACGATATATATAGTATGAATAATTCCATATATATACTCTCACTTCTGCTCACAGATATTTCAATCGCATTACGAATACGAACAGATACATGAACTGTAGATTACGTTAACTATGTGTCGGATAAGGGGATAGGGCATAAGAAAGATATTCATATAAACACATTTAATTTCTACATACATGTAATTTCTCTCTCGCTCTCTCTCTCTCTCTCTCTCTATATATATACATAGACAATATATATATATATATATATACATATTGTCTATGTATATACATACCTATTTAAATATTAATATACATACATGCATACACAAGCACATACAAGTATTATACATATAGTTCAGATATATATATACATACATACACACACATACATACTTACATACATACATATATATATATATAGATACATACATACATACATACATACATACATACATACATACATACTTACGTACGTACATACATACATACATACATACATACATACATACATAAATACATAC